TTAGACAGGAGATTCACAAGCAGTGTGCCAGGTGCTCATCTGAGCGACGACCACATCTTCAGAATGAGACAGGAAGCAACTCTACTTGAAGAAACCCCAGTACTGCCAGGCCATCAGGCTCTGACCTTCATTCCATATGAAAACTCTGCCTCTCGGGAACCGTAAGGCTGGGTTCAAGTGTGATGCAGAGTCAACTAATACTGAGTTGCTAGAGCTGTATGTGGATTACCTCATTTGCTACTCATCAAATTTTTACAAATGTATTCAAAGAAACTCAGAAGTCACTTGGCAAAATATTCAACCGGTAAAGGGTGGTGCCCTTATGCAAAATCAGGTCTCCTGACTAAATTCAGCGCTCCTTTTACCCTGCGTCTTTGTCCCCCTGGAGAAAGGAAAGTCTACCCACTCCTGTAGTCTGACCTGGGGAATTCCATGGACTGTCTAGTCCATGGGGTCGCAAAGAGTCAGACATGGCTGAGCAACTTTCACTTTGAGACACAGGACATGGCAGGAAAATTCACTTGAGCACTAAAACTTTCTCTCTCTCTCTGTCTTCCTCACTCTCTCTCTCACACACACACAGGGCTCCATCTGTAACACGGACAGCAGACACAGGCTCCAAGAGCCTCAAATATGGCATTTCACCCAATGCCTCAAATATGCATCATGCAACTCAGTGAAATATTTATGGCTGAGCTGAAAAAAATGTCTGGGACTTATTTCAAAGTCATGTAGGGTCAAATATGAGGTTGAAGACCCTATGAGTTTTGATAATTATTCAAGATAAGTGATTATAAATGGGGAAAGGGGGGTAATTACACCATTCTTTCTATGTTTGTGTGTTTGAAACTTTCCATAAGAAGACTTGTAATGCATCACACAAGTGATCATTTCTCTCTCGATTTGTCACTTGGTAGGAGATGCCACCTTAATTTCGTACCTGCTATCATGGTAAGAAAAAATATTAGGACCACAGTCTCTGCAGCTTGCAAAAATTCCAATTATAACAATAATAGACATCACTTATGGAGTGCTTCCTGTAAACCTGGCACTATACTGGACCCTTTATCTAGGATTTATAATGGGGGCTTCCCTAGTGGCTCAGAGGTAAAGAATCCACCTGCCAACGCAGGAGACAGGTTCGATCTCTGATCTAGGAAGATCCCACATGCTTTGGGATAACTAAGGCTGTGCACCTCAACTACTGTGCTCTCGAGCCTGGGAGCCGCAACATACATCTAAAGCCCCACTCAGCAAGAAGAAGCCACCGCAGTGAGAAGCCTGTGCACTGCAACTAGAGAGTAGCCCACACTTGCCACAACTAGAAAAAAGTCCACGCAGCAACAAAGACTCAGCACAGCCAAAAATAAAAAAATAAACATTTAAAAAATAAGCAAATAAAAATTAAAATATAAAAAAATAAAGTAAAATTCTTTCTAAAAATCCTTACAATGATCCAGTGAGGTAAGGGCAGTTTATGTCCATTTTACAGAGAAGGAAATTGAAGCTGCATGAGCTTAAGTAGCTTGTAGAAGTCTATATTGGTGATAATTGGTAAATAAGAATTCAAATCCTGAGTTACCTGCTCTTAATTTCTACCGTTTCCACAATACAAAATACTTAGGTACTTTAAGACTTCGTAGGCAACTGGGACTGAATCTACAAAGTGTTTTAAAATGATGAGAGTCTTTAAAGTATGACCCAGTAATTCCAAGTTTAGGATTGTATCCTATGGGAATTATCTGGGATGTGGACAGAGATTTATCACAAGCATGTTAAGCTCAGTGGTAATTCAATAAAGGATCTGAAGTAGCTGAACAAGCCCATGACAGCCCTTACCCAGGAAGCCTCCCCCACTGTTCCAGTCTGGGCTGCTGCCCCTCCCTCTTCTGCATTCCCAGGGCACCTTGCACTGGTCTCTTGTTTTCCAACTCCTCTCCTGAGTCTGAGCTCTTCTTATACAGCTTAGGTTTAGAAGGGGCACTCGAAGATGCAAGGAATGAGTTAACAAATGACCCTGGGGTTGCTTATTTTAATACATACAGAAACAGAAAACCAAGCTGTTAAACCAAGTCATCACAAGGGCAAGACTAGAACCCAAGGCCATACACAGGGTCCTTCTCTCTTCACTAGACTTTAGCTGTCTTCTTACATGAAAAAGATATATATATTTTTTAAACAGCTGGTATCTGGATGCTTGAGGCACAGCTAGAAAAAGGAGAAGAAGCTGGAGACTCTTTTCTCTGCAGGCCTTCACTGAAATGATCACTGGAGTGACTGGAGCCCATGGGACCATGTGGCCTTGGAGATGCTGATATGTTGATGAATGAAAAGGTGCAGGTTTAATGTGAATATAAACTGTGACACAGATATATGAAAAGACTAAGCTAAAAAGCCAAGAGTAACTGTACAAGCAGTAAGTTCTCTACCATTTAGAGAAAACAAATCCACTTAAAAAAAAAAAAAAACAGAGAAGAAGGAAAGTTGCCAAACGTTAACAGTGGTTGCCTTTGAATAAAGGAATTTCTTTTCTATTTCTCTATACATTTTTGTACTTTCCAAAATTGTCCTCAATGGACATACTGTATTTTTATAATCAGCATGATAAACAAAATTTAATCACCAAACTGATTCTAAAGGCTAACCTGACCCTTCTAGTCATGACTCAGAAAATCATCCCAGTATTTCAATGTGATGACACTGCATTGCTTACTATGTTACTGTTTCATGTACAACTATAGAAAGCACATCTATTCAAGTCAGGATACTGCAGTATACAATGCAGACAAGCAAGAAAAATGTATCTTTTCCCCAATTTGGTTCATACTGAATAAGTCACTGACACCAAATCTAAGCAAATTCTCAAGAGTCTATGTTCCAGAAGCTTATTGCAAATTTCACTAATTTCCCGACACTCTGTAATGCAACCAAGTCCCCACACTTGTGGAGATCCACCTTCTCTTGGAAGCCTTCCCTTTTCCACTCTCTCATTTACCAACTGCTCTTGGTTTGACTATGATGAAAAGAGACAATCCCACCCCTGCAGAGGTCAATTTTGAGATAAATTAGATTTATTTTTTGTGGGTTCCTGAGGGCAGTTTTCCAAATGCATTCCAAGCAAGGCTGGTGGGGGCCAACAAGTGGATCTGGTTCTTTGTAACTCCAGGCCCAGCATAGGAACCACCCCTGCCTCCACCTGCCTGCTTGTCACTAAGTATGGAATAAATGGATGGAAAGACTAGATTGCACTCACCTGTGCATGAAATTTCTGGATTTTTTTTTTTTTTTTTAAACTAGGTTTATTTACCTTAAAGTCACACACACTTCACAACCACCCAAAGGCCCTTTTAACAGTCTGGCAGACAATCCCCCTTGTTTGTGTCTAGGCTGGGCCTCTTCATTTGAGCACAGGGCTCACCCAATGAGGTTATCTTCCCATCATCATTCTCTACCACTAAAAAGCTGATGAGCACTCAACCCTGCTGGAAGGTCTGAATAAGCATGCGTCACAAGATTTAGCACCCACCACACCCCAAGGAGATGCAGACGTGTTCTTCCCTTGACACTGTGTGGATGCAGTCCACAAGGAACACGGGAGAGGAGGGCTGACCCAACCGGACCCTCTACCTCTAAAGGCCGGGCAACTTCCACTCCATCCGAACAGCCTATGCAGAGACTGAATGGGCAGGAAGGACTCTCACTGCACAAGGAACACTGGAACCCAAGAAGTTAAGTAGCATGAAGAGCTAAGGAGGTTCTCTCTTCTGACTTCCTGCTGCCTTTCATTCTGTGATCATGCTTTAAAGCACTTCCCTACTGGAGGAACAGGAGGCAGAGGAATGTGGGGAAACCCAGGGCAAGAGTAAAGAGAACCACTTGGTAAACACTAAAGAAAACCAACCCCCAGTGAAAACTATTAGTATAATACTCCTCACTGTATCTACCACTGGGATCCATGGTTTTGTTTCATAACCAAAACCTATGGAAGTCTTTAAGGAATTCGCTCTCTGACCTAAAGGTGTTGTTGTAACAACCATCATAGCTACGTACACTGGGGTACCAACAAAAACTCACTCGACACAAGTTTCGCTAAAGTGCAAAAAGGGCTAACTAAGAGCAGACACATTGCTGCGTGTCCCTGGGCAAGCGGTGTCTCACTGAGCTTCAGTTTTTTCATTTAGAAAAACAGGCCAGCTGATTTCTAAGTTCCTTACAGGGTGAGCGTTCTGATGCGAACTATACTCAAGTGCCAAGTGGAATGACCACAAAAATGAAACACCCTGGAAACCTTAAGAAGAGAAACCAGTGTGGTTAGGAGGTAAGAGGAACAGGGGGAAACAGCACTCTGGGGAAACCCAGACTCAAAGTGATGTCTTTGGTTTTCCAATGCTTCCCCTGCCAAATACAAAACTAAGTAGCTACTTCCATGAGACTCTCATCTGTAAAAACTTAATTAAATAAAATCAGTGAAAACAAGGCTTTGTTCTCCCACAAGTGACTCAGGAGTAGCGCCCTAGGACACATTTTCTACCCTGTGTGCTTATGCCCGAACAAAGGCCTCCTGGCACAAGAATGAGAGGCAAAACATCTAAGTCTCCACAGCAGGCTGGGCTCCAGCGCGAGGAGAAGGGGCAGCCAGAAGAGAAAATTAACTACGCTTAGGAAAGGCTAGGAGGAGAGTGAGGAATTACTAAATCTATCTTCTCTCAAATGGATAGAACTCTTCAAAGGCATAATGGAAGGGTGCAGCTTTCAATCTGAATTACGTTCTTTGTTTAACTCTGTTGTGCCTAAGGCCACTGCCTTTTCAGCCAACCACAGATTCCAGGGTTCTGTCTTCAGTCGCTCCTCGGCAATGCGCCATGGGGGAGTCAGGAGACCCAGGCTCTTGTCCTCTCTAGGTGGCCAACTTCACTTGGGTTGAAACTTGGTACAAGGAACTGAACTCTACCGACTTCCGTTTCCCCTCCTGTAAAATAGGAGGGTTCGCTGGATGCTCTCTAGACTCCCCGAGACCGTGTCGCAGAGCTGGAGGCCCGCCAGTCCCCGAGGGACAAGTTAATCTCCAGCGCTGCTGGCCAGGTGAAGCCGCTGCCCGACCGCTCGGCCAGCACGAGGTTGTCGCACACACCACCCACTCCACAACCTGTCTGGCTGCCTTCTGCACCCACACCATTACCTACGAGGCCAGTGCATCCCCTAAACCATCCCACTGCTGCCAGAACAGGTCTACTGAACTAAAATCCGCAAAGCTGAGCCGAGCATTCATAGGCAAAGAAAAAGGAAAACAAACAAGAGGCCTCTCCTTCCCGACCTCGGAATTTCTCGCAAATAAACTCGGATAGAACTGAAAATAAGGGCGTCCCCACCTAGAACAAGAGACCTCAGCTGGCCTTCCTTATAAAGAGACACGACAAGCCAAAGGAGGCCAATGACAATGGGGCTGGCTAGACGCAGGGACCTACACGGCAAAGCGCAAGCGAAAGCCAAGACAGTGCTGGGCGTAGTTTAAATCGGACTGAGGCGGCGCTCGCCGTCCCCTGCGGAGAGTGCAAGGACAATGGTGCGCTAGGCACAGTCTTTTCTGGGGGAAGGGGTTCGCAGACCCTTAATTCACCCCCTGTCTTTAAGAAACCACCGTGAGGTGAAAGTGAGGGGTGGCCTGGGTCGTCTCAAGTCTGCACCACGGCCGGGAACACACTCTCGGCCTGGAGTAATCTTTTTGCTTCTTTCTCCCTTCGTGTTTCCTATTTTTAAATCTGGTGGTTTGGTCTGATACCCAAGCGGTACCTTTTAAATGTGTCAGTCTTTCTTCTCCAGCAAGTGGCGCCCCCAGCGCCGTTCCCTCCCGATAGCTGAGACAAAGGCCGGGCTCCGGAGGGCGGCTCCGGAGGGCTGGCGGTGCACCCCGCACCCTGGGCAGGACGCACGTGCGTTTGTTATGGTACCTGCGCCCCCACCCCTGCAGAGAGCCCGGGTTTCTCCTCCTGTACATCCGGCAGGCGAGATCCAAAGGAACCTGGACTTTACGTCTCCCTCCCATGTTGCCGGTGCAGTGGAGAAAGCGGGGCTCCCTGGGGCCGCGTGCACGTGGGTTTGTTGTGGGTCCGCAGTCTCGCGGAGCCGGGGAGAAGCCAGGGCTGCCCCCTCGGCCTTGATTAATCCACAGACACCCCCAGCAAAAGGCGGCGGGTCCACGCAGTGAAGATGACTGAGGAGTGCTGAACATCGATTCCCTGCGCCCTCGGCTCGCCACGGGCCCCGCCGCTCCGCTCCCCTCCTGCGCCCCTTCGCTCCACTCCTCCCTGGGGGCTTGGGTCCCGCCACCGCCCCGCAGCAGTCTTACTCACTCGCTGCGTTCTCAGCCGCGGAAGCTGCGGTAGCTCCGCCCGCTCTGCGCCCCAGCCGGTAGGCAGCTGGTTCCTTTTGTTAGCACCGCGTAGTGCCCCAGGCGTCTTCCCCAGCCCGGCCCTGCCTAGGACCCCCCCTCCCTGGGATGCCTCCGGACTCCGCGCTCGGCGGCACCCTGAGAGCCCGGGAGCTGGGAGTCCCTGAAGGAGGGTCTGTTGGGGAGGAGTAGAGGGGCCGGGAGATGAGGGGTGGCGGGTACGCGGGAAGGAGGGAAGGAGGGAAGAAGAGTGCGGCGAAGGGGCGGGGGAAACGAGCAGTCTCCGTTATGCAAATAGTCGGGAAGACGGGGTGGGCCCCTCGCCACACCGCGCCCCAAATCCGCCAAGCCCTTCAGAGGTCGCTAGCGAGCGGGCTGCGGAATTAGGGGTGATTAGTTAGGTGGTGCACCGAACCCCGGGGTGATGCTGGGATCCTGCTCCCCTCCCCCTCCCACGGCAAGGGCGGGCCGAGGGGGAGGGGCAACGCGGAGGAGCAAGGTCCCCAAATGTCTGGTCCTGCAAGGTTGAAGCCAGCACTCTCCAAGCTGGCAGAGACTATAAATCCCGCCTCTGCTACCGACGGGCTGTGTTACCCTGAGCAAGTCCTTCAACTGCTCTGAAGCCTCATGTAGAATATGAAACAACAAAATCTATTTCACAGAGAATGGCAAGAACCTTCCACTCACTGCAGGTACAGAACAGGAGGGTCGGTGAGTCCCTGCCCCTGGCCATATCCACGTCAAGCCGTCTGCAGGCTGGTGGGCAGGAGGACTCCAGTAGGGTGGAAAAGGGAGTGAGGATCCTTCCTGCACTGGAGCTGAGCTGGGGCTGCTGGGAGAAGGCGAGAGGAGACCACTTGTTAAGCAAATGTCGTTGCCCCACACTGACCATCCCAGAGGCCCACTTGCCTAAAACAGAACTCCGCTCTGTAGAAGGGCAGAAGCGGCCTGCGGCCACCACTGCAATCCCCATAGAAAAGATGTGACTACCAGAGGCCATAATCTTCTCCCCATCGATTGGATACATGGGTGTGTATGGATGCTGTCCCTTGCTGGCTGCCTGAAACTGTCACAACATTGTTGATTGGCTACAGTGAAAGTGTTAGTTGCTTAGTCGCGTGCAGACACTTACTCCAATATAAAATAATTTTTTTTTAAATATCTCCCCAGGGTCTATGAAGGTCCCACTTGGCTCCAGGCTCTGTATGGGGAGGGAAGGAGTGTGGAGGGGGAGGGGAGACAGATCATGGAAGGTAGTCCCTGTCCTCTGGGGAAAAGAAATCAGGTACACACTTGCGTGCTTGAAGCCCAGGCCCAAAACCTTCTCTCCAAATCGGTGGTCCTCTCCCCACCACCATCCTGGGAAAGAGGGGTGGTCATCTCATCCCCAGCATCCTTCCCAACACTACTTTCCCCAGCCCAGATACTGGACCCCTTCTGCTGTCACTGCCGTCCATTCCCATCTGCCAAGGATGCATTATTGCTCAGTACAAAGAGCTCCAGTTGGAGGGGATGACAAGCAGAGTGAATTCAAATCTCTATGACCAACTAGCCAGCACTCTTGAGTAAGCACCTCAGTCTATTTTCATCTGGCATTGAGAAGATACTCATCATAGTATGAGTTAATGAGTAGAAACAGAGAAACTCTTAAACCTATATCTGGAAGGCTGCTACATTTGACTTTATTCTGAAAAAATTGGAAACCTAACATTTTTGTGCAGGAGGATGACATACCTCTTTGTATTTTACACTGATTTCTCTCCCAGTGAACATCCTGGAAAATGGATGGCAGGATCAGAGACAAAAGTGTGAAGCACGGAGACCAGCTTGGATGCTGGAGATATAATAGGAGCTGTGGCAATGACAGTTATTGTTCAGTCACTCGGTCGTGTCCGACTCTTTGAGAGTACGTGGACTGCAGCGTGCCAGGCTTCCCTGTCCTTCCACCATTCCCGGAGCTTGCTCAAACTCATGTCCATTGAGCCAGTGATGCCATTCAATCTTCTCGTCCTTGGTTGTCCCCTTCTCCTCCTGCCTTCTATCTTTCCCAGCATCAGGGTCTTTTCCAATGAGTTGGCTCTTCGAATCAGATGACCAAAGTATTAGAGCTTTAGCATTAGTCCTTCCAATGAATATTCAGGACTCATTTCCTTTAGGATTGACTGGTTTGATCTCCCTGCAGTCCAAGGGTCTTCTCCAACACATTTGAAAGCATCTGAGCATTATGGTCCAACTCATATCCATCCGTCTCTACTGGAAAAGCCATAGCTTTGACTATATGGACCTTTGTCAGCAAGGTAATGTCTCTGCTCTTTAATACACTGTCTAGGTATTTAATATGGTGTCTAGGTTTAATACACTATCTACGATTGAGGGCAGAAGGAGAAGAGGGAGTCAGGATGAGATGGCTGGATGGCATCACTAATACAGTGGATGTGAACTTGGGCAAACTTCAAGAGATGTTGAGGGACAGAGAGACCTGGGGTACTGCAATTCATGGGATTGCAAAGAGTTGGACACAACTGGGCAACTGAACAACTTGGTTTGTCATAGCTTTTCTTCCAAGGAGCAAGTGTCTATTAATTTCTTGGAGCCCAAGAAAATAAAGTCTCTCACTGTTTCCATTGTTTCCCCATCTATTTGCCATGAAGTGACAGGACCAGATTCCATGATCGTTTTTTTGAATGCTGAGTTTTAAACCAGCTTTTTCACTCTTCTCTTTCACTTTCATCCAAAGGCTCTTTAGTTCCTCTTTGCTTTCTGCCATAAGGGCAATGACAGAGGGAATGAGAAAAAGATAACACAAACAATAGCTACCATTTGGGGAGCAAAAGCACTTTGCTTACTAGATTATCTCTCCTCATCATAAGATATGTGGTGGCGTTAGCCCTATTTTATGGATGAGGAAATTGAAGTCACTTGGAAATGGCAGAGCCAGAATTTGAACCCTCTTCCAAACTCATTGAAAGCTCTCACCATTTCTGTCCTCAGCATCACTTTTTTGTCAATACTATTTAGAAACCAAGAACAAGAAACAGGTGAGAGACTTTTCCAGAAAGTTTTGTTCACCAGAAGTACTCTAGCCAAGTTATCAAAAAATCAAGGGACAGACTCACTCTGGTTTCTTGGTTTGCAGGACTGGAATGACCACAGATGACATAAGAAGCCCAAGGAGATCCTGGGACTCTGAGCAGATGAGCAGGCAAGAAGGAGTACCCTGACAAATTTCTGGACTGGGAGCAGTCGGTTATTCCCTTTGGGAACTGCTCTCTCAAGGTTGCTGTGTCTTCACTTGGGACCTTCTCACCCAAAAGTGAGAGGCACGAGGCTGGACCATTGGATGGGAGGTGATCCTGTCCTCCCCAGTCTATTTATGAGGCTTTCCCACTCATTGTCTCTGAGGCTCCTGTTTTGACAGTGTGTTTTCCTTTGCTGTTGTTGTCCAGTCACCCAGTCGTGTCCAACTCTTTGCAACTCCAGGGACTGCGGCATGCCAGGCCTCCCTGTCCCTCACCATCTCCCAGAGTTTGCCCAAGTTCATGCTTATTGCACTGGTGATGCCATCCAGCCATCTCATCCTCTGACACCCTCTTCTCCTTCTGCCCTCAGTCTTTCCCAGCATCAGGGACTTTTCCAATGAGTCATCTGTGTGCATCAGATGACCAAAATACTGGAACTTCAGCTTCAGCATCGGTCCTTCCAGTGAATATTCAGGGTTGATCTCCCTTAAGATTGATCTCCTTGTTGTCCAAGGGACTTTCAGGAGTCCTCTCCAGCACCACAGTTCAACAGCATCAATTCTTTGGCATTCTGCCTTCTTTTTTCTTGGAAGTGTATTCCTTAGAAGTATAGATACCTACTTTCCGTCTGGACACCATCTCAGCTCCCTGCCCCCTACTGATGTCAGCCTTTGCCTATGAATAATATTTTAGGTCATGCCTTTCTCAGTCATTAGTTTAGGCAACTTACTGGCTAATGTAAATAATGCATCCCCTGCTTTTAACATTCATCTACAATGATCCACTCACACACAGTATTCTCATAGCACTCTTCAACTGGGGGTTGATGTTATGACAAAGACTTGTGAGGGGAGGAGACACGGGCCCCTCAAAATGCCCTTCTAAACCCTTCTTCCTCACCCTGCTGTAGATGCTCATCAAGACTCTTACATAGCCCTCCCTCCTCAATGCTTTCAGCACCTATTGTCCATTATAAAAGTAGGCTCAAGGTCAAAGAACTGCTCTGTGGTCTGGCTGCACCCCCTACCTTGAGCCTCGGTGCTACCAGCTTCAAAGATGAAGATACCCAGACACAGCTAAGTCTCTGAAACCCAATCACAAATAGAGTGACAGCACTCTAATCTCCCAGGGACTTTCTACCGTCCCTACAGGAAAAGGTTAGTGGCACATGGAGTGGGCCGGGGCAGAACACTAGAGAGCAAAGGCAGAACACCAGAGACAAGCCTCATGGGAAGACTGCAGCACAGGACAGGGGAAGGGCTGGTAGAGCCAGCAGTGGCTTAGTGGCTCCATGACCTTAGGAGGCAGGGAGGGAAAGAAGGAAAAAAGAAAAATTCACATGACTATGGACCACTATACTTGCAAATGGCTTTCATAGACATTCTCGCACTTGAGCCCCCTTCAGATTCACAGTAA